ATACATAATATACATAATATATATTATGTATATATATAATATATATTATGTATATATATTATATATATATTATATATATATATACACTTTTAAAAAAAAATCCTCACCCGAGGATATTCACCCTTTAAAAAAAGAAGAAAAAAAGAATTTCAATCCTCACCCGAGGAGTAAGGATGTTTTTTTCCATTGATTTTTAGGGAGAGTGGAAGAGAGGGGGAAAGACAGAGAAAAATATCTGTGTGAGAGAAATACACCAATTGGTTGCCTTCTGCACGCTCCCTTACCAGGGCCCGGACCGAGGAGGAGGAGGAGCCTGCAACCAAGGTACATGCCCTTGACCTGAATCAAACCCGGTCCCTTTTGGTCCACAGGCTATCTACGAGCCAAACCAACTAGGGCTATTTTTTAAGTCTGACACCTTTTTCTTATTTCTTTTATTAAAAATTTTTTTTAGCCCTAACCGGTTTGGCTCAGTGGATAGAGCGTCAGCCTGCGGACTCAAGGGTCCCAGGTTCGATTCCGGTCAAGGGCATGTAGCTTGGTTGCGGGCACATCCCCAGTAGGAGGTGTGCAGGAGGCAGCTGATCGATGTTTCTCTCTCATCGATGTTTCTAACTCTCTATCTCTCTCCCTTCCTCTCTGTAAAAAATCAATAAAATATTTAAAAAAAATTTTTTTTTCAAACCTTTACCCCTCTTGTTGGTAGAGATTTATAGAACCTGTTCAGCCAGTTGGGAGCGCAACACCCATTTTATAGCCACAAGGTGGCAGTAGTTGAGCAGAGATGGTTTTATGCTTTATGAGTATTACTGTTTTTTAAGGGTAGAGGGTGGCGTATTACTCTTCAGCACATTGAAAAAATGGTTTGCAAGAGTTTTTAAGACCACACAATAGAACATTTTATTATTTTAAGATGGAGAATAACATTTTACTATTTCAGCTTATTTATGTGGAATACTGATGTTACAAGACAGTTTAAAGTTTCATTTTAGTGATAGATTTTATACAAATATTTTGTAAATGTTACTTTTTACTTTTTTTTCCTTTATTTTGGAAATTGATTTCAGAGGAAGGGAAGGGAGAAAGAGATAGAAACATCGATGACGAGAGAGAATCTTTGATTGACTGTCTCCTGCACACTCCACACTGGGGATCGAGCCCACAACCTGGGCATGTGCCCTGACTGGGAATCGAACTGTGACCTCCTGGTTCATAGGTTGATGCTCAATCATTGAGCCATGCCGGCTGGGCTACTTTTCACCTTTTCATGAACATTTTTATTGGCATTTTTTATTTCAAAATGCTGGACTATCCCAGACCACAGAATATTTAAATCAGGATATATATATCTGATTTACTGGGAAAGTCCAAAATATAGCTTATTTAAAGGATTTGTTTCTATATAAGAGGGGAAATGCTCATATTTTTAACATACTTTAAGTCTGTTAAATCCATGTAGTAGCAATATCATAATAGTTTTATTTAATTTTTTGTTTTCTCACCAGTTTTATATTGACAACTTTAAAAATTATACCAATATTTAAAAAACTAATATGTAAAGGAATGTTGAAAATATTTGTGTGTAACATTAGTGCTCCTGGTTTTACATTAGCGAATTCTAGGAGCATTATTTCTGAGTTTGTAATAAAAATCTTCTGAAATCTTTAGTTTCAAAGTGGAATCTAACATTTTCAAAGCATGTTTAGAAGAAATGACCAGTTAATATAAAAATAATGAAAGAGTGTGTTGAAGTAAATATGAATCTCTAGTAAGACATGAAAAGTAAGTTTTTGTCAACTTATATTGACAAAATATATGGACAACGTAGATTGTCCATACGGCAGTTGGACATCCCTCTCGCAAATAAGATGTTATATTAAGTTTTTGTCAACTTAATATGACAAAATATATTGACATATTCAGGAAAATGGTGAAGTAAGTAAACACAGCACTCGCTGCCTCCCTCAACATCAAAATTACAACTAAAAGACGGAAAGTAAGTTTTTGTCAATACCAATAAAATGTTTATAAATAATACTATACATTTTCTAAAAGAAAAAATGAATATATTCTGCATGTATTTGTTTTGTGGGTGATCGTATGATTTATTTCTAAGCAGTCAGACTCTTTTATGACTTCTCAAGTTAGCATTAGCTTACCATCTTTATATCTTTCTTGAGTCTCATTTTGGCTTGAAAATCTTGCTCCCTTTTAATGTGTGTAGGTTTTGTTTTATTTTGATTTTTCTTTTAAATGTCATATTAAATTTTTCTTTTACTTAACATTAAATTTTGTAACATGATTCCAACTCTTGGGTTTGTTTTGATCAGCATTAAATAATGGGAAATAAAGGAAACTCACATTTGAATGGAGCCTGGTTTGTAGGGATTTGGGAATAAAATTCAACAGTGTTGATGCAGTTTAAAGCTGTGGGTGCTCTGGTGTTGGCAGTTGGCAGAGGTTGCATGAATGGTAGATGCCCCATCTAGGAGTAGGCTGCTCAATAAGTCCCTTGGCCTAGTTGAGACATTGGGTTCTCCCATAGGAAGTAAGTGCAAACTGAGGCAGAGAATATTGATACCAGAGAAATGTAAACTTACATTCATATAAAAACCTGCACACAAATGTTCATAGCAGCTTTACTTGTAATAGCCCAACTGGAAATAGCCCAGCTATCTTTCAGCTGATCAGTGGTTAGATAAACTGGTCCATCTGTGCAATGGAATACTACTTAGCAAGACAAAGGAACAAGCAATTGATTCACACATCAGCTTGAATGAATCTCAAGGGAATCATGCTGCGTGAAAAAAGCCAGTCCCAAAGGGTTACAGACCCTGTGATTCCATTTGAGTGATATTCTTGAAATGACAAAATTATAGAGATGGGGAACAGATTAGTAGTTAGGAAATTTAGGGATGGGGTGGGCAGAAGGGAGATGGAGAGCAAAATGTAGTGCTAGAACTGTCCTGCAACTGGACTGTGGTGGCAAATACATGCACCTTCCCATGTGATAAAATTGTATAAAATCCGAATGCTCTGGATGTAATATAGTGTGTCTTACAAGATATTACCATTGGGAGAACTGGGACAAAGGTACAGGGCTCTCCATGTATTACTTCTTACCATTGCATTTGTATTTACAATGGTCTCAAAATAGGAAGTTTAATTTAAAAAATCATTTCACTGGTCTGTCAGGCCCAGCACTGGAAAGACCTGTGAATTCCATAAGCACAACCCCATTATCCCACATCATCTCCTGTAAAATGATTTCTTTGGTTAGAAGCAGTGCTGTGTGGCATGTCATGACAATGACTGTGAAATTCTCTTAGTTTATGGATGGTGGTTTTGATAGAAGCTTTGTGGGCAGGGAAGGCAAATCCATATTCAGAGTGTCCATTCCAGTGATAATATATTCATTTAGAGTGGTCCTGTGTGACCACCCTGCCACCAGGTGGCCGGCTGATCCCAGGGAGAGCTGCTCTATCGGAAGCTTAGTGCTGGTCTCTGCTCTTGGCGGTTGGTCATTTAGCAGTGTTGGGGGAGTATAAGGCAGTGTTTCTGAATCCATACATAACCTCCATCCCACAAAAATTCAGGGCCTTGCGGCCTTGGCGAAATTTCTAGTTGTCTGATGGTCTGGGACATGTTGAGATACCCCTCCGGCCCCTACAACAGAAGCACATCCCTGCTGCCATGGCCACTGTGTTCTTGAACCCATTTGTGAGGGGCAAGAGCTTGACTGATGTCCACAGGACTGGTTATCTTGTCCTCTGATTATTAAGCTTCCTCTCTGCTGAAGAAATCACTCCCATGTGACTCATTCGTTTTTTCACTCTGTGTCCATTCAGAGAGATCTATGGTAGCTAATGTCGTTCCCAGACCACTTGTCATCTATTTTCCAGTTATGTTACTTCTAAGTCCCTGACCATCCAGCAAAATCATGAGTCACTTCACACAAATCAACATAGAGTCATACCTTGGCCCTGTCTTTGTCCAGGCCAATGATCATTCAGGTGAACTGCTCAGTGTTCTGCCCACTGGGAGGCTGTGCCTTCACCACTGTCCTTCAGTCACCTGAGAGTCACTTGGAGAGGCTTGTCGGAGTCTCCATTCTGCGTCAGCACGAGGCACAGATACGTCCAGGCACCCCCACGCGTGGGTTGTAAAGGCCGAGCAGTAGAATAGCCTGCCTGGTGGCCTGGACCTGTTGCAGGGCCTTGTCTTGTTCTGGGGCCCAGTCAGAATTGGCAGCTTTTTGGGTCACTTGGTGTAAAGGTTGGAGAGGCATGTTCAAATAAGGTGTTTGTTGCCTCCAAAATTTAGGCCCTGGTGAGCATAGGTTTGGAAAAAATGTAAGTTTTAAAAAAGTAATCAGCCTGCAGTATTCGTTCACTCATCCCTCAGTAACTTCAGTAGGTAAAACAACTTCTAGAAAGTGAGCAGCACAAAACAATTAAAGAAGCTATTTTCCTTTGAATAAAGTTATAACAAGGTCAAGCCATTAAAAATACTGTATTATGAACTCATGGTCAGCGTGCTAATTGAAGGACCCTTAATCATTTTTATCTTAATGTGTGAAAATTGTGTTAAAAGAACAGTCACTCTCCCTAAAGCTGACTTGGAAGGCATGTTTTTGCAGGTGGTCAGTACTAGGAATAAGTCCATCACCTCCTGGGTTGCCCTCCTCACAGGCTCAGACTCCCCTCCTCCCAGGCAGGAGGCTTTGTCTAAGGCCACTCCGAGCCCTGCTCACAGTCCTGGTTCCACTCCAGCCACCCGGCCACGCTGGCTCCTCTTCACGAAGTAAAGGGAGAAAATGAAGTTGAAGAGTATACCTGGCTTTTTAAAGCAAAATCCTATGTATATCTCTTTTACAATTGCTACAAAATGTAAATATACAGCAAACTGACTTAAATTTCCCCAGTAAGATTTTATTATCCCCACCATATTATATCTTTATATTGAATTATATGCACATAAATACCTCTTTTCATGTTTAGGGCTCTCTGAAAGGTGCGGAATCCTTCGCATCGATGCTGAGACATTCTCCTCTCACTCAGATGGGACCTGCCAAGGATAAGATCGTCATTGGGCGAATCTTTCATATTGTGGAGAAGGATCTTTACATAGATTTTGGCGGCAAGTTTCATTGTGTGTGTACAAGACCAGAAGTGGATGGAGAGTAAGTACAGTCATTTCCAAGTGCTTCAATAGTGTTTCCATAAAGTTGAGATACTTCAAAAGTATATATTATTGGACTTTAGTTGGTGGTTTTAAAAAAGATAGAAAAGACACTATTTTTCTCTTCATAATGCCAGTTCACCAAGTTGGGGCCAGATCCATGTCTTCTCAAAGCAGTGAGAATAGTTTTGGGGAAGAGTTGACTGTTCATCCTTTGTTTTCCCAAATGATAAACAACAGTCATGGCGTAAGCCCTGTTGCTCTCTGGTTCCACAGTCTAGTTCTCTCTGGCAGTGTGCTCAGCGTGGCTCACTGCAGCCGGACTGCACCTGCCTGGCTCCTGCTTCCTTCCCCTCCCTCTGTGACGCATGCTCTGATGCTGGGAGCACAACTACAGCTCTGTGTCTACAGACAGTTTTTCTGAGAAAAACTTTCTAATTTAGCCAATTCTTTGTTGTCCAGTTTCCAATTTATCCGGGAAAGGAGGGTTATACTCTTCACAAAATAGTTATCCAGTCTCTTGATTTCTACACGTAGAGATACTTCGGTTCTTTTGAAACCCTTCTCGGGGTCTCTTACAGCTGCCTGTCACTTAGCTTTGAAAGTATCCTGATCTTACTGTCTACAATATTTTATTTTATTTTATTTTTATTTTTATTTCAGAGAGGAAGGGAAAGGGAGAGAGAGATAGAAACATCAATGATGAGAGAGAATCATTGATTGGCTGCTTCCTGCATGCCCCTACTGGGGATCGAGCCTGCAACCTGGGTATATACCCTGACCGGGAATCGGACACGGACCTCCTGGTTCATAGGTCGACACTCAACCATTGGGTCACGCTGGCCGGGCTACAATATTTTAAAGTACTGTTTCAGTTATGTTGCCTTTCCACTTGAATCCACACCAAAATTTGAGGGTGGGAGATATTTTATTCAAATCTTACCTGTAGCCTTTATCATTGGTGGAAAGATGACAACCCCAAATGGGAAGGCGATGAGACCCAGCGGGTCTCTGGTCTCCCAGTCACATGCCAGCAGGTTTAGAGGACATGACTGGATGCGGCAGCTGGACATATGTTTGCTCTCTGCCTTCATGTCAGGCCGCTGACTGCACATATTCTGGCAGATTCCTGCTCTGATACGTTTATTTAAGTGACTTAAAAATAAGATGTAAGTATTTATCTAATTTGTTTATTATTCATCAGCCTGATCTTTTTTATCCCTTTTGAGAACCATTTTTCTCTTTATTTAGAGTTGTGTGTAGTTGAATCTGTTCTACTGTAGGATAATTTAAATATTACAGAGTAATTAGATACATGAAAACTCAAATTTAATAAAATACCCAGCTTAGCAAAATGGTTTACTTTTTTTTTATTATTGCTTTCAATAAGTCCAGTGGCCTTTCAAACTTAGAGTAATGGATAAGATCAGAAATCATTTGGGTTAACTGAGTATCTTAGTGAGGCACAAGCCTTTTAATAAGTTCTATAACTTTTTAAATTTTACATTAGTTTTTGATTATGGCTTAAAGAAACAGTTTCGGCCTTTGTCCCAGGAAGCACTAGAGTTGTGCAGAAAGGCTGCCGTGATGGCTGTGGGGCGGAGCAGCTCTGCATTCAGTGTTTAAAGTGGGGAGTGGTGGTGGTATTTCTACTACAAAAAAGTAAAATGTTTGAGAAACATTTTTAAAGGAAAAATTAGTTCTAGAAATACACTGCATTAATAGTAACATTCAGAATATAAACTAGTATTTAAGCATGTTCAGTAGTGTGATCATGTTAGAGTGAATTGCAAAATAGAAATATTATAAGTAAATTTCGAGATTTTAGAGATGTGGATGGGGCCTCAAAAGTTATATCTCTTACATTGTTTTTCTTTCATATCAGCTACTGTCTTGAAATCAGAAATTATATTGTAACAAATCAGAATGACTCTGGCACTAACTTCTGGTAATTAATTGAAGTAACTGACTTGCTGAATTAATGAACATTCTCTTCTGTAAAACGCACTTCAGATTCCAGTGCTACATGGACAATTAGAAAGTAGATGTCCTCTACTAACCTGGGCACTTTTGCTTCTTCCAGTTGAGGTATATCTTTAGCAAAAGCTAGTTGTGTTTGTTCCAAAACCTATTTATATTCTTGTTAAATAATATATTTGGTTATTGCCTAAACTAATAAAACATGAGCACAGAAATGGTTTTTGTTCTTATGAAATATAATTTTGGAAAGACTCCTCATAAAGGAGAGATTTTGTTTTTAAACAAAATTGTTATTGAATTTGAACGAGTAAACCATAAAGATTGGAGAGGTCAGATCATAAAAAGTCTGGAAGGAATTGCTTTCCAAATGTCCTTCTGTCCCTGTTTTACCCTGAAATGGCTGCCTCTGGCCATTGCAGACACTGCAGTGGGGGATTGTTTGTGCCAGGAGGTCAGCACCGGGCCCCAGGGAGTGAGCCTCTACTCGGGGAGAAGGCTTGGCCCCATAGTAGGACATGTGCGTTAATCGCTAAGTTAACGTCTTTGCGGTATATGTGTATACTTTTTTATGAGTCCTCACTTCAATCTACTTTTCCATGTGCCAATCCTGTGAGTCAGAGAGCTTCTGCTACTTAAAAATATAAAACACGCTGCCCTTTTCTTTAGACAGTTTTCCTATGTCAATACAGCACACAATTTCCCAAACTTGTCCTAGTGTGGTTAAGATCCCTTTCCATCTCCCATGTGATAATCATGATTCGAGGTTTGTTAAAACCTACATTGGACTTTATATATGTCATCTGATTTATTCCTCCTTAAGAAGCATAGAAAGTGGGAGCTACTCCCCCATTTACCAGATGAAGAAAATGAGTCTCTGAGCGTGAAGCATTCCAGTCGGACAACTGCTTATTACCAAGGCAGGGGCTCAGACCTAGAGCTGTGGGTGACCAGTGCCGGGAATGTTCTCTTCACTCTCAAGTGCTATTCTCTAAACCCTACAATATAGAGTTCTTAATATCTCATAAAAACCTCCTACAACAGTCTCACATAGGAATCAGTTTTATACCAGGGACCCTGAAGGCATGTGGTAATGAAGCTCAAAGGAGATCTGTTAAAGAACGGTAGGTCGCCTGTTACAGTGTCCTTAGCTATGGTGTCCATGGTTATGGTACACCGGGGCCCTCGGTGTGGTGTCCATAGTGTGCTTGGATAGTGTTACCAGCTATTAGCTGATGAACAGTGGGTACAGGTTTTGTTTCAGAATGAATGCTTTATCATAATTATAGTGATACCTGTGGTTACAAGAACTTAATGTCTGGCAATTATTAGTAGCTTAGAGTCAGTATCCCTGTAGTTACTTGGGGATGATAAGTTTATTCTACAAAGAGTAGGAAGTTGACTTTTTATAAATGTAATACTTAATTTTTAATTAGATTGATTCTTTTTATAAAATGTCATCTACTTTCTTTGAACATTTTAGACCTAAAGTAGTTTAATCTGCGTTTTTTGGTCTTTGTTTTTGATGACCAAGATCAAAGTAATAAACATTAATTTCTGTGTTGTATCGTAATTCAAATATGTAGAATTATTGCTCCTTAACCACATAACCCCCAGTTACGTAGTTTTTGTGTTTCACCTATGGGTGTCATCTTTCTTTTTCTGTTACTGCTCCTGTGTTTACATTTTTAGCTTAGACCTCTTAATTTCTTCTTCTAATATTCTGATGCCTGGGAAACTGGTTACCAAATTTGTTATGCTGCAAAAATAAGAACAACTAGTGCTTGAGTAAGAACCTTGCAGCCTCTTCTCTAGGTAAGTGTGTGTACTTGGACTTCAAGGTGCATTTTGACAGCTCTGGCAGTCCTCGGCTTAACTCTTCATGGGTTCTGTGGGGACTTGATGCCGCCAGATAACTGACTTCCTGAAGAGTGAGGTGTGACCAGGTTGCGGTCCTGCCTGTGTTGACGGCTGTTCACTGAGCTCTCGATAGGGTATGTCACATATCAGAACAGTGTGTGCTGAACTAGTCAGGTGCTGAGTGTCTTGGACATGAGCAGATATTGTGGTTGAGACCTTAACACCTCCAGCAGGACCAGTAGTGAAAATAACATGGGTTATTGGATCGCAAGTAGTATTTGAAGTGGTACCAATTCCTACAGTGAATTTTTAAGTCAATCAGTAAACTTCTTAAGAACATCATTAAGTCCAAAATATTGCTTTATGGCGTTGATTAGTTTGGTTGGCTTGGAATATACCTATAATACATTTTATGAGTCTCAAGAATTAAGCTGTTTACTTTATTTTTAAATAAAGTGGGTCATGTACAGTTTTTCATGGAGTCAGCAAATATTTAATGAGCCACCTGTGTGTCTAATGCTAGCGGTGTACAGATTACAGGCAACCCTTGCTCTCAGTGGGTGATGGTTCAGTTGTGGGGATAGAGAGTGAACATATATAACAGGTTTCCTGGCTTCTGTGGGGATTTGGAGAAGAGGGGATCACTGAACCTGTCAGCTTGTGCCAGCAGGTTTCCCAGAGGAACTAACATGGAATTGAGTTGTAAGGGTGGGTGATGGTAGGAGATAGAAGTGGGGGCGGTGGAAGGGAGCCGCACTTGCAGAATACTTAGCGAGAGAGCCTGGCTCTTCTGGGAACTCAGGTGGCTTCCTTGGCTTAATTACGTGATGAGAATTACGTGAATTACGCCTGAGGATTAAGAAAGGAGTTTTTCATTAACAGTTTAGGGGACAGAAAGACCAGGTATAGGTGTCTGAGTAATTGTGGGTCGTGAGGTGGAAGGAATGATGTTTGGTTTCAGACCTAAATGACTATGTGGATAGTAAATTGGGTTGTATTGGTTGGGTAGGTGGAGGAGGGGGTGTATTATATTGATATTTTTGCCAGCTTCAAAAATTAAAACTAAAATGCCAGATTTAGATCGGTTTCTCTCATTCCCACTCATGGGCATAATACTTTTGATTACTATCAGTTAGGAACATTCCTCTTTTTACTGAAATATAA